AAGATACAAATCAGAAAATAATAAATTATAATAGAACTTAAGCAAAATATTAACCGATTAATGACCTTGATCAAAGTTGGCTTGTCCTTGACAGCCTTTGCTTCTTTAATGGCAGCCCGAATTTCATCATAACCGGTATTTCCGTTCTTCACCCAAATCACATGCCAGCCAAGAGCTTCTAAACGGGACTCAACATTCTCCGTAAAAGCAATCTCTGTGTCACCATCAATGGATATGTGATTATCGTCATAAAAAGCAATCAACTTTCCAAGTCCCCAGTGTCCAGCGAGAGAGCAAGCTTCGTTTGAGATACCCTCCATTTGACATCCATCACCAAGGATGACATATCTGTGTAAGAACCGAAATAAATTTATATATATCAAGAATTAATAAACGAGCAGATAAGCAGCTCTTTACGTGTAATGGTCAACTATCTCGATATCCGGTTTGTTGTAACGTGCAGCCAAGTGACTCTCTGCAAGTGCCAAGCCAACAGCATTGGCAATACCTTGCCCAAGTGGGCCTACAAAAAAAGTAAATTTGGAGCAGTAAATTCAGGTTCGAATATTTCGAATCAATGTGTTAATAAACAGAAAATTAATTCAGAAAAATGATTCTGACCAGTGGTGACTTCAACACCAGGCGTCTCAAAGTTCTCGGGATGACCAGGCGTTTTGCTTCCCCATTGACGGAAGCTCTTCAAGTCTTCTTCCTGTAACATTACACAGTGTTCAGCTACAAGACATATGAAAATTCATGTTACATAACTAAGAGATACAATGAAGCTATAAATGCAAAAGGTAAATCCAACTGAAAAATACTTGAAAAGAAGAAAAAGAAGAAAGTCTCTCAATCCAGATAACCAAATCAACAAAGAATATCACTCAAACTCAATAATAAGCTTTGGACATTTATCACAAGAAAATAATAAAGGCAAACTGAGCACAGGTCACAGATCCATAGCTGAAAATCATATCACCAAATCAAAGGACACCCATTTCCGGGTCAAAATCAAGAAAAATTTAAGCGGCAGTAATTAAAAAAGCTAAAAAGATTCGACCTTGACGGCGTCGTATCCGGCCAAGTGAAGAAGTGCGTACTGCAGCATACACCCATGACCAGCGGAGAGCACAAACCGGTCACGATTGAACCAATAAGGGTTCTTAGGGTTGTACCTCATGACCTCATCGTACAGTACGTGACCCATCGGAGCGCAGCCCATGGGCAGTCCCGGGTGGCCCGAATTCGCCTTCTCGACGGCGTCAATCGCCAGAAACCGGATGGTGTTGACGGACTTCTCGACGAGCTCGGTGTCCGTTGTTTTCTCCAGGGTCTCCACGGCGGCAGAGGCCCGGACGAGGAGGCGGGTGGTGGCGGTGGCGGGGCAGCGGCGGGAAACGGCGGATTTGAGGCCGGAGAAGGAGGGGACGGATATGGAGGGGGAGGTGGAAAAGGGGTGGAGCTTATGGGAGGAGGAGCCATGACGGATAATTGAGGAGCGAGAGAGGATGGCCTGAGAGAGGGTAAGGGAAGAAGATGAAGCCATGGCTCTATGTGTAGTTTCTTGTGTTTTCTCACTTCGTCCGTGACGAAAATTGGATCGGGGGCGATTTGAGCATAAAATATGAAATGCGGGTAAAGTTGCCAAAATATGATAATATATTTTATTTATTTTTGTTCTTCTTTTAATTATGTATCTCACTAATACAAAATAATTACAGGGTGTTGTTAAAAAATTATTCTTAAATTTTAAAATTAACGAGAAAAATTATTTTAAATTTTATTTATTATTTTACACAAAAATACATATTATTATATTTTAGAATGATACTTGTTACTTGTGCAATTTACATGTGTTATATTATAGTAACTAGTAATCACCCGTGCGATGCACGGGGAAATTATTATCTAACGCCTTTTAAAATGCACCTTTGTATATAAATTATGTAATAATGCAATGATCATGATCATAAGAATAGACATATAAACATATAATTAAACTGAAAAGATCATATATTATTAAACACTTCCCTATATACAACATTGTTGGTTTGATTCTTTGGCATGTCATCTTCACCACAAATTAAGATTTTTAAATATTTTCGGTTAGTGACATGTGAGACAAAAATATATAACTGACCATGACTGAATACTGGTTTCTTAAGCAATAAGCAAATATGAGATAAGGATTGTCTCTGGCTCTTGTTTGTAGTCATGGCGCAAGAAACCATAATCGGAAACTGCCGCTGTTGGAACTTAAAAGGAATTCTAACATCAGAAGGAGTTATGGCAATTCTTGGAATCAACACCTTATCACCAGCATGATCTCCTGTGAGTATCTTACACTCAAGAACATGATTGGATAACTTTGTCACAACCAATCGTGTCTCATTACACAAACCTATAGAATGATCCATGTTCCGCAACAACATGACCGGAGTTCCAATTTTCAAATACAACTCATGGTTCGGTATTCCATAACACTTGATACTATTCAAAAACTCAGGCGTATGGAGATCAGACAAAAAATCATTATTAGAATCCGATTTGCATGTACTGTCAGAACTCAAGTACATACGACCATCCAACAAATTCAATGATGTCATGTACTCATTGATAGACTCGGCCACATCCAACGTCGGCGCTATAATTCAAATTACAAATCAACTCCCAATTTTTCAAAAATTTTAAAAAAAAGTTATCAATTGTAGTAAAATCTAAAATTTTAGGCGAGAACTTTTTTTCAACTTAAAGTAAATCCCTATTGTTATTTTATAATATTAGATTGAATTTCCAAAAGAACTAAGTCAAAGGTTTTGACTCAAAATTTTTTATCAAGTTTCTATAAATGATTTTTTAATCAACCTCTTTCAATATATATATATAGATATAGATATAGATATATATATATATAGATATATAGATATATAAGTACATATATAGTACTCCCTCCTTTTTTTAATAAGTATCGTTTTGAAAAGTTGCACAGTAATTAAGATTTTTTTTTTGTAAATAATAACCCTCATTAATGAGGATAGAGATGGATGTTTTGAGAAAATATGAAGAATGAATATGAAAAGATGTAGTGTATTTATTAGCTAGATTGAGGTAATAATGAAAAAAATGTACAAAAGATCCAAAACGTCATTTATTTGGTTAATTGTTAATAAAGTCAAAATGACATTTAAAAAAAAAAAGGAGGTAGTATCTATTAATATATAAAAAAACAAAGGATTTATTATATATAATAATTTAAAATTTACCAAGAATGTTTAAATTACTTATAACGTAACTTGTTTTACATGGCTTGATGTTACATTTACATTGATATATTTTGATCTCCTACAATCATGCTCCCTAAATAACTAATAAATTAGATATCCTTGGTGTATATATTTCACATGTGACCTTTCAATTCAGAAAGAATCAATTGACATTATCCTCATCCACAATTCAACATCATCCTCCCAGTTTTTTTGTTAAGAAATTGATTCGAATATTGCTTTTAAAATCTCATTTTTTTTACTCAAATTGCACGTGCTTTTTAACAAATTTTTCTAAATTAGTAAGTCAAACAAATTAATTAATAAGTCAAACATTCTATTTAAGTATTTTTCCAACAACCTTTTTATATATATTAAAAAGAATATTATTTACTACTGAAAATGAAGCCGATTTTTCTACCAATAAACTGATTTATTATCAAACAAATTGATTCGAATATTTTTTTTAAACCAAATAAAAAATCATCAATTTTTTCTAAAAATGCAACCGAATTTTCCTAACACTGCACCGATTTTTTTACCAAATAAATTGAATTGAAAATAATTTTAATAAAAAATTGAAACAATTTGTTAATGTTTATGCAACTGTCTCTTTCCTAAAGGAAATGATATGAACTTAACAAAAAAAAATGATCTGAACTTACCAAAATCTCGGTAAAACATGGTTAAGAAAAACATAAGAATCCAAAAAAATCAATGCATTTAAATTTTAAAAAGTTGCACACAATTTTTCCTAAATAATTGGATAAGGTGACTTTAAATATCAAAGATGAATCGCTTTTGTTACCAAAAATGTGGACACAATTTTTAATGTACATCCCGTCCAAATATAAGTTTTATTCTAAAATAAAAATTGCACGTGGTTTTATCCAATTTACACACTTTTTTTTGAAGAAAAAATTATTCAATAAAATTGGAAGAATTGGTTAAGAATTATACAACTATTTGTTTCCTAAATTCGTATCCAATTTGTACGGTCTTTAAGTTAATTTGTATTTAGAATTTTTTTCATAAATAATTGACACATTTTTTGCATAAGAATCACCAAATTTGTTACCAAAATATATGATTTAAATTTTGGTACAAAAAATAAAATATGATGCGAAAAAAATGGGATTCAAATTTTGCCATAAGAATCTCCAAATTAGTTACCAAAAAAATAGGATTCAGATTTTGTTACTAAAGATTCACATGTATTTTTTCGAACTTTCCATTTATAGTAAGTTAATTGTTTTATTTATTAGGTCAAACTTTCTATTAATGTATTTTTCCAACAACCTCTTTATATATATATATAGATTTTTATAACTTATATCATATAACAACTTGAAATATAAATATATTAATTGATAAATAATTTTATTTTTACTAATTATAAAAACATATAATTTATTTTTCATATATAAAATATGGATGTTAAATTGAAGTTCATCAAGAGATGATTAATTCGATATATTATATATGTAAAACTGATAAAAAATAAAAAATTATTAACTTATAAAATATATTTACAATTCAATGATTATAATAAAAAAAGATATTAAAATGTAATTAATATATGTAACATGACCATAAATAATCAACATATTTATGGATAATCTCAACCTAATTATTTTTGGATTGTAAGTAAATTAAAATCTACCCACGCCTAATAACGGAACATATAATTTTGCCACATAGGATTCTAAAGCATGAGAGTCTTTCATATAGGCTCTACGTTCTGAATAATATATAGGAGGGAGGAGGGATTGCATTCTTAATTTGGATCAAAATTTTGCACACAATATCCAACTATAATCTATCTCTTAAATTTGAGTATATTTCCACGTCAGATTTTAAAAGAAGTGCTCTACCATATAGACTATGTTTGGTAGACAAATAAGCTAGCTTATAGCTTATTTAGCTAGCTTATAAGCTTCTTGTATTTAAATAAACCTCGTTTGGTAGGACGGGCTTTTTTAAAAAGTTCGAACTTATTTGATAAGTTACTTTAGGTAGCTTTTCATATGAGCTAGTTGAATTTTTTATTCCAGCTAGCTTATCAGCTAATTTTATCAAACACTTTTATCATATAAGCTAGCTTTTTAGCTATAAGTCATAAGCTATAAGTTATAAGCTAAAATATTGCTGATAAACTATAAACTAGCTTATCAGCTATCAGCTAGTTTACCAAACATAGCCATAGTATATCCATGTCATTTTATAACCAGAAAATAAAAATGTAATTTTGCATAATCTAAGTCATATGCGAAAAAGATAAGTAAAACTGCTATTGTTGTGCATATCAATTCAGAAAATATGAATATTTGTAAATTGTAATTTTTATACTCAAAAGAATAATATAAATAAAAATATAATATTTCATAATATAACCATATATCTTTTTGTAAAAATATAAGGGATCTAGCATTAGGCCGTCCGAAGTAAAAAACATTGCTATTAGCGTAAAACAACAGCACCTATAAAAAGTGATGAAAACTTCCTAAAAAATAATTATTTACATCCATTTCTTATTTCATTTATCACAAATCACATTATGGTCTCAAGAGTCAATATACAGCAATTGCGAGAAATACATGTTTTCATATTCATGGTTTACCTTGTACAAAATTTCCATAAATAGTAAAAATAATCAAGAAAAGGGAGTAGGTGAGAAAAATGAGTTTGTTTTTTATGTTTTACTTATCCTTTGCTTAGGTAAAGCGAGGTAGGTGCTGAAGCTGAATCAAACTTGAAAGCACGCCATATTTGATTTCATCATAAAAAAACGCTTTATGTGCAAACTTCATTAACTTTTGCAACTCTTTTTCCTTCTCTATTTTTTCTTTTCATTATTAATCACGAGTTTGGTGAAACTCATATATGATCCCTTTTCTTTATGACTAATGTTAACGCATATTTTCTAATTGAAATGTTATATGCAAAATAAACAACATAAACAAAAGTAGGACATTTCACAACGTGTGAATTTTTGCTATCGACCCAATTAACAGAAAAAAATTGTGTTTGGAAAATGGCCAAGTTATCTGCAACTCTAAGTGTTTCCCAGTTGAATTTTTACTAGATTGGTGGATTCCATTTGTTTTAACAAAAGAAAAAATAACTACAAGAACATTATACAGCCCGACTGTAATGTAGATCGACCGTCACAAATCAATTCTTTTTTCTAAAGAACACAAGACAAGCTTATCACCATCAATGAAAAAAGTAACTTTCCATTTTTCTCATTATATTATGCCTCTTGCATTCTTAGACACACTCCATGATTACACCATAAGCAAGAACTAACTTTCATGGCTCGTTCAGCAAAACAAAGCCTACATCAATTTAACTCTCTTACAGTTCGAGGATGAATTTCGAATACCTCTACCAGTCACTGCATAAGGAGCTGAAGCTGCTTTCATGGAGGGTGATTTGTCAATATATGCATGCCTCTCGTTGCCATTCCAGTAGAGAATGACCCGATTTGTAGAAGCATGTGCCCAGCTATCACCTGTCGAGTATCGTTTTCCATGTCAGAAGAATTCATACATACATATATATAATATACATATAACCAACACACAGACAATGTAAGAGAATTATATTGAAAATGAAGTCTGACATGACTGCAGGTATTTACCGAGAGCTAGAGTCAACTGAAATGAACCTTCGTAGTACTTTGTGGTGACTTGATTTAATAGAACTACCTGCGGAAAATGATTGCATGAATTGAAAACGAGATTTAATGTATACTACCTGCGAAAGTGATTTTATTTAATTCTTTATTGTTTTTTAGAAACAGCTTATATGCTCCTAGTCTTTTTAGGATTTTCTGCGTTCTTTTAGAAATACATCACTGAAAAAAAAAAATGGCGTTCAAAATTTGCATGGAATTTAAATGGCCTTACTGCCAAATTAAACTTCTTGGCTAGTTTCATCAGTTTCAGTGCAATTCCTGAAAGTAGTCGAGTCCTGAGAGCCATGTCCTCGAAATCTTGACGAAAGTGGAAAGTGATGCTATCAATAATGACAACCTTGACCTGAGGACACAGTAACACACATTTATGTGCACAAGCCGAAAGCCACAACATGATTTGCTATACTCACATCCTTATGATCACTGATAAATTTTTCCAAGTAATTTACCACAGCAATTTGCTCGGTGTAAGTGCAAGTGCGAAAGTAGAATATATTTTCCATAAAAGAGTCTGCCTGTTTGTCCACTCGACAGGCTTGAGAATCCTTCCTCAGCAAGCTATTGTATTCCAGCATGTCCTCGGCACAAGCCTCAGCTATTTGCCGAACACGCTCGACCATGAAACTTCCTTCTGTGTCTGATCATCAGACAATTTAATGCTATACTAAAAGCTGAATCTTCAAGAAATGATAATATATAGCATTTAAGACACAAAGAATAACCTGATATTTAACATATCCCAGCAGATACAAACCTATATAAATCGCTTTTCCCCCAAGGCCACCGTAGTCAGCTGGAATTTGAACATTTACTGCCAGTTGAATCCTACATTTATCCAGATTCAAGAAACAAAATTACAGTTGATGAAATTTTCAACTCAAATGACGAAAACAGAATATTGGGATAATAATTAATAATCCTCACCCAAGCTGCGTTTTACCGATGCCCGGAACTCCACCTAGTAAAATCAGAAACCCAACAATTGTAAGAATGTACAGGAAAATGTGAATAATCCAGTAAGTACGTACGCAACACTTCGGGTAAAAAAAATTACAGCGACTGACCAATTTCAGTAACTTCTTTACAACGAATTCCTCCGCCAAGAATTTCATCCAAATCCGAGGAAGAAGTGGTGATGCATACAGAAGATTCTTCCTCGTGCAAGATATCCCATGCTGTTTGTGCTCCTAAACAGACTCAAATTTGTTAAAACTCATGGATCCATAAAATCTTCAGCTCCAGAAAATGATTCTTCCACTAGCATTAAGACAGAATACAAAGCAAATACAAATTATTCAGGGAATAATTCAGAAAGAAACTAATGAGATGAATTCAAAAAAACTGGGCAACAATGAATTGAATCTCGTTGTGCAAAGACCATCCGAACAAGCTCGACGAGCTCAAGATTACCGATTTAAAATCCTTAGAAATTGAGAACCCTAAATCCAAGTGACCTCAGAAATTATTGATGACCAAATTTCATTTTCTGGATCAAATCCCATACTTCGAATTTAAGCATAAACTTCAACCAGAAAGCTCTTTACGCCCTAACCACAGATCAACATAGAAAGAACACAAAATGAATTTTACCATTCACAATCGCGTGACTTCCATTCTCAATTTTGCTCAGCCCATTTCTTGCCGAACAAGCTGTCAGAATCTCCACCGCCTCGTTTTCCGTAATCTTCAAATCTACGCAGAAGAAGAACAGGAAAAACAATGAGAAAAGAAAGTAAAGTAAATTGAGGATTACCCACAAATACAGATAGAATTCAGACAAATTAGCGTATACCTTGAGCTAGCTTGGAATGAGATATGGAAGATAGAGACGAGAGAGAAGTGTAGCCTGCTGATATCAGCTTTCCTCTGTGCGAAGCAGAAATTGGCAGTGTCGATATTTCCATTTTCGCAATCAGAGCGCGTACTATGTGTGAGTGTTGATTTGCGATTATTACAGATTATCTGGAGGTTTCGGTTTCCCGCGCTATTTTTTTCTTTTTTTTCTTTTTTTTTTTTGTTTTTTTGACATTAGATTTACAGATATAAGCTCATAGAGTTTTTAAAGGAAACAAACTAGAACTCGGTTGGGCACGGCTCAGCTCGTTTAATTAACGAGTCGAGTCGAACGCACGCAAGTAAAAATTTTTATGCAATTTTTTCCTTATAGTCTAGCTCATTATACCTCAAATTCGACTAGTTAATACTTGTAATCGACCTAAACTCAAGCTCATTTATTGGTTCGATTAATTAATGGGTTGTGCTCGGCTTGATAAAGGCTACCCCAAGCTCAATAATCAATAGCTTGAGCTTAACTTACCTCGTTGAAGCTCGAATTCACCTCGTTCATATTGATAAACAAATTAACCTCGAACTCGTTTATTAGTTTGCTTTGTTAATGATCTGAGCTTAGCATGTCTTGTTACCATGAAGTCCCTACCAGGTGTAGTTTGTAATATAAAGGTACTGAAGGGGTCTCCAATGGATATTATAATTTAATCTATTTATCTCATTTTACACCATTACCATTCATCATTGAGGTAAAAAATTCTTGAAAACATGTATATTACCAGTAAAAAAGAAAAAAAAAACATTTAAGAAGGTAAAATGACCCTAACTAATGAAAATTTCATCATTTCACACTTAGTAGTCCTTTCTTTAAATGAATGTTAATGATACACATAAGACTGAACTGAAGATCATAATCGAGCTTTCAACAAATACTATAATGACGATTGTTGTTTAGCCGACGCTTGAATTATAGAGGTGAGTGATGGATGAAGACGGGCCTTCTTCAATGAACGGGCCTCACTCTTTCCTTGCGCGAACTCCTGGCCCAATGGCCATCTCGGTCGAAGATCAAGCTGTTTAAGCAGCAAAAGTTGTCGTTTTTCAAGAGTAGTTTATCGACAAAAAATGAAAAAGCAAAAACGGGGACAAAGTCAAACCTGAGCATCATCAGGTTCGCATGCGGGTGGTGGTGGATCGTATCTCCCCATACGAAAATGCTCGATTCCGGTCCAAGCAATCATTACACCTGTCGAGAAAATAAATGGCATGAATGAAAAATGTTCGAAAGAGACTTCGTGATAAGATTAACTATTGACCCGAAGCAATTTTTCTTTTTCGATCAAAATTAGAGAAAGATACTACTTGAAGATCGATTACATTTCATCTTTCAAGAAAAAAGGGAAAAAAAAAGTATCTTTACCATTGTCAGTACAAAGGCTCGGGGGAGGACAAATGAGTCGAAGGCCTTTCTTTTCAACTATCTGATTCAGTCGAGACCTCACATACTGATTGGAGGCAACACCTCCAGAGACCACCTGTGCACGATAAAAATAGCCATATCCGAGTAATGTGTGGAGAGTGGGAACAACTTTTATTTATTTATTTTTATTTAATGATGAGTTTCACTGACCAAATACTTTATAGAAGGCTCCATATTCAACGCCCATTCAATTGCTCGTTCACACTTGTCCTCGAGATGCAACACCGCAACTCTCTAAATAAATAACAGAACATATTTGTTAATCATCCGAAGAAAATTATATGGATTGGCATTTGGGAGGGTTTACTCACATCATGCACAAGTAATAAGCAAATGAAATCGAAAAAAGTTCAATGTAATATAAGGGTTAATCACAAAAAAATTGGGTATCTTTCAACTTACATGAAAGGGAAAACCCTCCTTGGAATATTTGTTAAGAGTGCATATCTGAGGGGGGGTGTTTTATATATTAAGGGTGCGTGTGTATTATTTAAGGATAATATTTTTTTTAAATGATTTGAGTCAAGCCTCAAGGTCATTTTTGGTAATTATCCCAAGAATAAACACTACCTGGAAAGAGGCAGCAATATCAGCCCGAGCTTTTCTGTCTTCACTATTCGCCGAGGCAATGGGAATTGAAGCATCACTGCCAAGTGCCAACCACAATGAAATATTTCGTTATTCAAATTTAAATTTATACAACAATCTACAAGATAATTTTATATTGAAGGGCAAATCTTTAAGTAGCAAAACATTTGACAGAAATAAATTACATGTTTTTGGATTCAATAGCCAGCCTCACTTGGGTCTTGAGACCTGCGTACGAGAAATTGCAATCTTTATGCTGTTTCATGGGGACCTATGGGATATATCATAACATTAAACCTCGTGGTAAAAAAAGTTTAAACTCAAAGGAAAAAAAATTCAAATTTCGAAGGCACTATTCGTAATAGAAATCGGAACAAGGTTTTATGAGGTTACTCGCCTTGAAAATGATAGATTTTTCATCACCCTCACGAGCCAGCTCCTCTACAGCAGGACCCCCACTCTTCCTCATGTCGAGGCCAAGCCATTTTGCCGTTTTGTCATATGCCTCACCAATTGCATCATCTATTGTTGTCCCGAGTTGTATATAGTGGCCAAGATCACGAGCTAGAATAAGAAGATTATGGCCACCTAAGTAAACAGCGAAAACAAGTACTAATAAGATTTTCATGATTGGTGCTATACTCGATGAATTTAGAGCAGTGAATATCATCATACCTGAAACAAGTAAGGCCATGAAAGGGAACTGTAACTGTTTTTCGGCTTGCCTGGAAGAAGAAAGCACACATTAGGTCTTCAAACAAGGCATAATATCTCATATAAGATATAACCAACAATTTGAATAGTCTACTCTTTTTTCTTCCTTTTTTTTTTCTCTCTAAACACCGAAAAATTCTCACGAACTTCATCAATACCTTGCTACTAAAGCATGGGCTTCCATGTGATGGACACCAACAATGGGTAAAGCATAAGCACCAGCAATTTTCCGAGCTTTCCTCACACCAACTACAGAAAGTGAAACAAAAAACAAGTTAAAGAGGTATTTTCACCCAACAATGAGGTCTGACATCCAACATCTGCAAAACTAGTGATACAAGAATCAAATGAAAAATTCATCAAAATGCCAAATTATGTATAGAGAAGTAATAACTAATATCTATTTTTACCCAAACCAACTTAGTCGACGAAGATAATAATGCTCAAGATAAAGTATAAGGAACAACTAAATAACAAAAAGCCAAAAATAGGAAAAAAAATAAATAAATAAAAAAATAAACGATGAAGCAAAAGACAAACAGAAGGCTGAGCAACAGAAGTACCACGTAGGCAGAGGCTCAACCCAGGACCAATAGTAACAGCCACTGCAGAAAGATCTTCCTCTGTTACATTAGCTTTATCAAGAGCCTCTTGCACTACCTTTAGACAGAGAACATTTTAGGTATCAGAGGATAACAAAAATCACAATGAAGATTGAAATATAAAGAGTATGTTGTCCCTGTACCGTTAACCTTTTGAGATGATAGCAGTCATCTAGAGGTGAATGGATTAATCACAGTTTGAAGAATTAACAGAAAACCAAAAAAATCAACAAATAACTCAAATGGAAGAATAAAAATTCCGCATGATACACAAGATGCGAGCATGATGCAGCTAAGCATTTTCATGAATACAGAATATTATGAAAAATATGCATGCACTCAATAGGAACGAGATTTGTTACCAAGTCTGCAGATCTGTACCTGATCAATCACTTGCGCGTGCGCTTCTTCTGCCATTTTAGGAGCAACACCTCCGTATTGGACGAGCAGTTCTGCCTTGATGGAGTGAGGTTGTATAAAAATTAACAAATGCCATCAATAAAAAATGAATTTGCCCAACATCTGAAAGTGTGTCATATAAATAGCACTTATAACGCATACACCTAAAAGAAACAGTAAAATTCAATGTTAAGTTGCTTGGTATCAACACAGAGAGCATCATGAGGAAAAAATGAACCAACATTCAAATGATGAACATCGTCCAAATGCGATGAAACAAATGCATTCAATTAAGTGCTCTATAACTCCAGATGCAAGGCTATAACTACTTAACATTCCAGGTAGATTTAATTATAAAGAGGCAAAGAAATACATTCACGCATACCTGAGAAGACACAACTTGGCTAAGAATTTCACCATTGCTTCGAACCTATCACCACGCAAAACATACAAAATCACCGACTTTATCATCCATTTCACCAAATAAACCAAAACCTACAAGATATCAACAATTAATTTCACAAAAAGAATCACCCCATTAAAAAGTTACATTGAAATTTTGAATGAACATTCACTCCCCTCGCATAAAACACTTACTACAGCTGCAGCAGTATCGTCGCAGCTAGTCTCGATTCCCAGCATAAGTAATTCTTCATCTTGGCCTAACGCGCTTGCGGTTTGAGCTTTTGGGTCGGGGAAAAGTGAGGCTTTGTGATTTAAATCAAGGAGAATAGGTTGTGTAAGTCTGCCCAGTTTGAAATGTCGTCGTAAAATTATACGGGGTTTAATGGAGGATCGAAACATGGACCTGCGGAGAATTATTAGCCGGGAAACTGTGGGGGAGAGGCTGGATATCAGAGACGCCATGTGAGAACTGAGAGCTCGAGAGTTGAGAGTCGAGACTCGAGAGCCACTGGGTTTGGGTTTCTGTCTTGTGGAGATTGAAAACTGTTATGAACTCTGAAGCTAAAGAGAGAGGATACGGGTTTGGATTTGAGGAGCTCAACGATGGAAAAGGTGGAGTCTTGGGAAATGCAGAGGTTGGGAAAATTTGCCCTGATTAGAACAATGCGAGTGAAGGAGATAAGTTGATAGTGGGTGAATTAGATAATGGACCAATTTAAGAAGTGGGCCAAAGAAGTTAGTTTACTTAATTATCTAAGTATTTAGTATGTTATGTTTCAGTCTAGGGTTACGGCCCAATTTGATGCCTAAGTAATTGTAATGGCCCATGGCCTTATTATTAATATGAGAAAAATCTCGCACATGGCCAAGTTTTGGCAGTTACACTCTTTTGTCTTTTTCTCTCTCAATTTCCCTCTCATCTGTCTATCTCTGCAATTTCCCCCATTTCTTCCTTACAAATTCAGCTTGTTTATACGTAAAATTCATCAATTAAAAAAATACAGAAAAATACAAAAAAATTAAAAATAGAAAACCCATTTCATAACAAAAACATGTAAATTAAAAGATAAATAATATAGTGTTAATTCAAAAAAGTATATTTAAAATATATATCTTTGAAAAATACTGAATGAGATGTCGTATTTAGCATTAATTCTTTTCCTTTTTTTATCACACTATTTTATTTATTTTATTTATATTATAAAACTCAAGGTATCTTTATATTATTATTTTAAGTAAAAACCTATATTTTATTCCTACTTGCTCCCTTTTCATTTTCTAAGTTAAATATATATACTATTCTCATTACATTTTTATTTTTGTATTTTAATAGTATATTCATATATTTTAAAAATCAAATGAATAGCACTTAATTTTTAACCCATTTTTAATAATTAATATATAAGTTAATATTATTTTGTTTTTGTTTGAAAATATTTTTTCATATAAAAAAATAATCATTTTCTTTAATGAAAATAAGTTTTTAAGACTATAAATGAGTTGAGGTGAATAGAAATCAAACTTTAAAAAATAGAAATTGAGTTTCACTACAACAATGATTGTGGTCATTATAAGCTTGCAAATGAGTTGAACTGAACTCAGCTTATTAGATAAATGAGTCAGAAATCGAGCTCAAGTTTGACTCGTTTATCACTATTAACGAGTCGAGTTTAAACCTTAACGAGCTGATCTCGATTTTAAAGAGTCAAACTATAAAAAATTATACAAAAAATCTATGTTCGAGCCTTAACAAGCCGATATATTAACTAAACGAGCTTTAAATGAGCTTTGAGGTCAACTCGTTAAGGACACGAGCTCGAGCGAAATTCGAGTCTTAACGAGCTGAGTCGAGTCAGACTCATTTAATTTGACAACACTATTGTCAATTCTCAATTTCCCTTATTCTCGAAGATATTATTATTATTATTATTATTTAATTAAAAGAAATAAATTTAAAAAAAATACACTTTTATGTTTTGTGGTGAACATTCGAAAAGCTTCTCAAACCAGAAAGACACCTCAGTCCCTTCAATGGAGATGAGACTCATTCTCCCACAAGCTGCTGCGAAATATGCTCCTCACACACTACCGATTCCCACTCTCTCTCCACCACCACCTCTCTCAACCGCTACCTCCCACCGCCTCCGCCAGAAAGCTGGTCCCATTCATCAGCATGTCCACGTCATCGCGGCCGGCGGCCACCGACGACCAACAGGAGCTCCTAACCCAGGTGCTGAGGTACCACGACCAGACCAAGCACGGGTTCGCCAGCTACGCGCGTGGCCCCCACGGCCTCGATTGGGCCAACCAGCCCAACCCCTTCCGCCGCTACCTCGCCGCCCCACTCATCCCCCTCCTCCACACCTCCTCCGGCGAAGGATTGAATAATCCGCCGCCTCTCTACACCTCCCTGTACACTGCCCTCCCTCCGCCTGAGCCGATCTCGAGAACCACAATCTCCCAGCTCTTCTACAACTCCCTCGCCCTGTCCGCGTGGAAGACCACCGGATTCTCGACGTGGTCGCTGCGCGTGAATCCCAGCAGCGGCAACCTGCACCCGACAGAGGTTTACATCATCTCGCCGGCCGTTGATTCACTCTCCGACCACGCATTCGTTGCCCACTACGCCCCAAAGGAGCACGCGCTCGAGCTCAGGGCTCGGATCCCATATGGGTTCTTCCATGGCTGCTTCCCGGAGAACTCCTTCTTGATCGGACTCTCGTCTATTTTCTGGCGGGAAGCGTGGAAGTACGGCGAGAGGGCGTTTAGGTACTGTAATCACGACGTGGGGCACGCTATAGCGGCAGTCACCTTGGCTGCTGCTGGGCTTGGATGGGATGTTAGGGTTTTAGACGGGTTTGGGTATAAAGAGCTGGAAAAATTAATGGGTTTGGAAAAATCTCCAGAATTTACTATTCCAAGCAGGCCTGTGAGAGGTAAAATGCCCGAGATTGAATTCGAGCATCCCGATTGCGTGCTGTTGGTTTTTCCGAAAGGTTCAAATGAATTCGAGGTGGATTATGAGAAAGTGAAGGTGGCTATGTTTGAATTTTTGAATCTTGATTGGGAAGGAAAACCAAATATGCTTAGCAAAGAGCACGTGTGTTGGGATATTATCTATAGAACAGCTGAGGCTGTAAAGAAGCCACTAAATGCAACTAAAGGAGTGATTTCAAAGCCTTTTAAAAGTAGCCGGATGATTAGCGAGAGTTCTTACAAAGGTTTGAATCTGAACGAATTGGTGAGAAAACGAAGGAGTGCAGTAGCTATGGATGGTGTTACAAAAATGCGAAAAGAAACGTTCTTTCAGATTATGTTACATTGTATGCCTACGGGTTATGAAGAAAGTGGAGAGAAGCAGGGGAAGCAATTGGCTTTACCTTTTCGAGCTTTGCCTTGGGATTCTGAAGTGCATTGTGCTATCTTTGTACATAGGATTATTGGTTTGCCTAGTGGATTGTACTTTCTGGTAAGGAACGAGAACCAATTTAATGAGCTTAAGACAGCTACTAGACAAGAATTTGAGTGGGTGAAGCCTGAAGGCTGCCTGGAGGATCTTCCTCTGTACGAACTCGCACGAGGTGCTTTTGGCGAGCTTTCAGAACGGCTTTCGTGCCACCAGGTACACTTGTTGTTGATTTATCATGCAATGTCATAATGTTGGCGTTTTGTATGCCTTGTGATCATTTGAGGGCTTGAAATTCATGTGTTGTGTAGATACCAAGTCAATTCTAATATCTAATATTCTGTTGTTTGTTAGCAATTTAGAGAAATAGAACGGGATATAGGAACAAGTGACTTTCTAGTCTTGGATCCATCATCCACCTGAGAGCTAATGTAATTTCAATCCTATCATAGCTTGAAATGAGAAAAAATTGTTATTTATACTGTTTAGAATGATCCTGAAAAGTGGAATATATTCCATGAGGTTGCTTTTTGTGTGTGTCTAACAATAGATGTTTATTATATAGGACATTGCTTCTGATGGGTGTTTCAGCCTTGGTATGGTGGCACGTCTCGAGCTCCCTCTACGTGAAAAGGGAGCTTGGATGTACCCAAGGCTATTTTGGGAAACTGGGGTGCTCGGGCAAGTTCTGTATCTCGAAGCACATGCTGTTGGAATTTCTGCTACTGGAATCGGGTGCTTTTTTGATGATCCAGGTATGTGATGTGATTATTCCTTTTACCATGCCTAAACATTAAATAAAGTTTTTACGGGTTCTGTTTTTTTCCAAGCATGACTGCAAAAATGACGTGTGTTTGCATTTATGGCTTTGAAGCTGAAAACAACGGTGTGATTCTGAAAACTGGAATTTGCTCAGACTTAACGTATATTTCTCCTTCAGTAAATTTGAACCTTTGACAGAGAATGGGGTTTGAGTATCTAGTTATGTGGTATTAGAAGAAAGTTCCATTTAGTTCTGAATAGAAATGAAATCACCACACTCATTTATGTGAATGTGGACGGTATTGCATTAGTTTAGATGGAATTATACAACCATTCTTGTAGAATTCAAGTGATAAAATACTTAGAATCATCTTGATTTTCTGTTGGGAAAGGCACTCTTCATAGAACTCAAAATAACACTATATCTCAAGGAAAGATATAGCGAGCCATTCTCGATTGCCACTGAAGATATTGTCCTCTCACGATGCCTTTGCATCTCATCAAGTTCATCATACCTTTTCTGAAGTTTTTTTTCCACTTTCACCAACAAAAATCACCCATATCATTCAGTTGGTCCTGGTCAGGTTCATTCAAAGGCTTATTGCTATATTTGACTCGATTTTCTCATTCTCTATCTGACGCCTTTTCGAAAAGAATAGCTTTACAAATATGCTATAACCATATTTTTTGGATACAGAAATGAGAGAATATAACGATACTGCATATATTTGTGGAAAATAATTTCGGATAGGATATGTGCACACATTCTGGTTCAATCAACTTTGTTTGAATAATTTGTGTTTTGCTGATTATTACTTTTCCGAAAAATGTTTGCAGTGCACGAGGTTCTTGGGTTTAAAGGGTCGAAATTTCAGAGCCTTTATCATTTTACGGTTGGTGGCCCGGTGGTTGATAAACGGATCATGAGCTTGCCAGCTTATCCGGGTCCGGAAGAAAATGCTTGATCCGAATACCAAATGTGATTTTAAAGTGAGAAATTCTTTTTCTTGGATCACAAGGCATCACACAGATCAAAATCGAGCCGTTTACTCTGATTATACCGAGTTAAGTTCAGACCACATAATTTTTTGGTTGATCTCTTTATTATCGGTCAGTTTTAACTATAAGTGAACCTACCTGGAGATAATTGTCATTACAAACTTGTCACTATTATTATTATTAGATATTAGATGCAAAATCTGTAACTATGGATTATTGTGCTTTGGATTTTAGCTGGAGGTGATCGTAGTAAATGGTTTATATGAGAGTTTTGCCATCTAATTGTTTATATGGGTTGTATAGCTGTTAAACGATACGAGTTGCTCGTGAGCTCAGTTCGGCTTGCTTGATAAACGAGTTGGGCAAAAAGTTTGTTTAAAACTTGTTTAGTTAAGGGAACCCTAGCCCAAGCCGAGTCAACACGGCTTATGTGACTCGGGCAGCCCAATGGCTAAACCGCGGCAAGGCCCAATAAGGGTTAATTTGGCTAATGTTAAGGAGGTTCACTGAATTGGTTGGTTTGATTTATTTTTGTTGGCTTGTGGAGAAAATGTTTGAGATGAAGAAAACTTGTTTTGCATTTCTTATCGGGCTTGCTTGTTTACAAATTTATCGACCTTTTGATTTATTTAGTTAATCAGGGTTAATTTTAAAACATTGGTTTAGTTACTTTTAAAAAACTAGTTTAGTTAGTTTTAGTGTGATTTTGAGTTTGTACTAAAATTATATTTAACATAAGAATTGAATTTGATTTGACGTAAAAATATAAGATAATTAAAATTATATTTAACATAAGATAGTTAACATCGTCTTGCTCGTTGGTTTCTATACAATATTACACACAACAAAGAGAGAAAAATGTAGCTTTTATTTAATTTAATCCTACTTCAAGGAGGTTTTATAACCGTTCAATCAACACACACTTTACGAATGTATGTAAAATAGAAAGGTTAAAATTTTTGTAAAACGGTATCCACGAAAATAGGGTCAATTTTGACATTACTTAATGGTGTGCATGTTACAAGTTACTAGAAAGTGGACAATATCGTTTAGAAAAAAAAAAAAAAAGTTGCAAAAGTGAATTATAAAGTGCGAATTTAGATTGTTTTATTTAACCATATGATAAAAAAAAAAATGGAATCTTGACCTAAGGTTATGTCCCAGAATAATTTTTCGAGGGATTCTGATTTTCAAATAACCGGTGCAAAACTACGAAATGACATTGCACTTCTTTTTGGTGTGTTTCACTTAGAAAAAATAATTTGTGGCTCAAATGGGTTTATAAAATCATTTGAGTTTCAAATGATTGGGTATAATTAAGCACACTTTTAACTAAATTTACTTAGCATTATGCTTATTCAGTTCAACATTTTTACCATCGACTTAGTTAGTCGCAAATTTTCATTTGGAAGAGAGAGTCCTGATATGATAAATTATATCCACCTTTAGATTTTTTCTAAATTCGAACTTTAGAGTTATTTATGTGGAATCGGATTCTCGGTTCTATTTTCACTTTCTACTTCGTATATAAGTTTATCAGATAAATAATAAATATATCCTCTTAACATTTTTTTTCCTCTAACATTATCATGCACATGTAACACAAGCTTCTAATGCACACAAAGGTGGTGCTACATTGAAATGTAAGAAGAGGAAAACATCATTAAAATGAAATTTATAAATTTGATTAAAGATCTTGGCGAGGCATCCACAACTCAAATTGGACATATATGTCCATACATCAAATGATATATAAGTTCGTTTCAATAGTAAAACCAAATAATTTAAAAAATATCAAACAACTAATCAAACCAACAACATAAAATTTAAGAACTATGTAGTCAATGGGTCAATTGTATATAATCCTTCTCAAAATTGCCTCACAACATTAAAATAAAAAATATTAATAAAATAAAAAAGATTTCCACATTGAAAATCAAATCGATCCATAAATGGAGCTGTTAAATAAACCAACTTCGGCTTGACTTGTTAAGCCTTGATCTCGACTTTCTCGGGATCATATACTTAAAGTGTTAACTAAAGGCTACAAATTAAGTAAATGATTTTATATAATTTTTTATAATTTAAATTAATTTCAAGTTGTTAATACTAATAAACGAGTCGAAAGAATTGATTTATCATCTCGTTTTGTTAACCTCAGCTCTGCAAAAACTCAAGTTCGAGTATCATCACCTCCGAGCTCGACTCAACTTATTTACGTACACCACAGAACAATCCAGAAAAAAAAAATGAAAAATATTACCTGAATCAGAATCGCCGCTGCCACCGTCATAGTAACCATACACCCAATACCGTATATAAAATTGAAAACGTATAATCTAAATAATATCACTTTGTGCATTCTCTAATCACGGTGTTTCTCAGTCTGGTGGCCGATCTGCGATTCTAACTCAACTCACTGGATGTAGGCTGTCTTTTTCTTGTGTGGGCCCGTATTTCAACCCGGGGGTCAACATACAGGCCCCCGAGCTTGGATATGCCGCGGTTAGTGGCATTTCTGATGTTGTACTTCAGACCCTCTCCCGAGTTGATCTGGGCCCTCAATCATGGTTGACGCGTCCTTCAAGGCGGTTTGCATCCTCAGGCATTAATATATAACATCTGAAGGGTTTCTCTATTTAGGTGGCTGTGTTCCGACTTCCATAAATGCCTAAAAAGACATGCGGATAAACTTTCGTTGGATGTCATGGCCTTATTTTGGGAGGTGAAGACGTCGATTTCGCCGTGGTTTTGTGCGAGAATGAGGACGGGTCCTCGTCTCTAGAGATAGACCCACTTCTCGACGGCTTCATTGTCTGTGGTGAATGACACAAGCAGCCTTTGTCGGGATGACTTGTTGTTGGGCTTGGAAACTAGGCCGGGCTTTGTAGACGTGAACAACGTTGAGCTCATTCCTAGGGATTGTACTAATGGTGTGGTGATCGGTGGCCCTTTGAGAGTTGCAGAGGAGGAGGATATTACGCGTGTGTCATTTGTGTACAGTGTGCGTACGTGAGAGAGGGAGAGAGTGTGAAGGGGTGGGCCCATCTGATATGTGTACAAAGAGAAAATGTCTATTATACCCGTCATTAATGTATAATATTGACTCGTTTTTTATCGTTGAATCATCCGATCTGATGATTACGACATATTATTTCTTACAATACATGACAAAATGCAACTAATTAACAAAGAATTCTATCAATTTTTAGTAATAATAATAATAACAGTAATAATAATAATAATAAACACAAAACACTTATTTTCTAACAAATGTCAAATCAGAGAATAATTATAAAAAAAAATGGCCAATAGTCCTAGTCTTTAGGTACACAAGTTAAATAATGCACATCAATCGGTTTGAATTGTTCCAAATTTGGTTAGTCCTTGTGCTTACCAATAACAGCAATTTGTTGTTATTGTACAAGTTAAATCCTTGAAAAACTTTGTACCCAAANAAAAAAAAAAAAAAAAAAAAATCCTTGAAAAACTACACCATGATCGATGATGAAGCTAACCATGTTCCATCACAAGAAGAGGAGGAGGAAGACGAAGAAGAATATTACGATACGAAAGAATCGTTTGAAGACGACGATAATATCCTCCGTGACGGCAAGCACACGTTTCTTACAATCCACAAGATTGGAACCACCCGTCTTTCATGCGGAACTTCGCCCGTCTACAAAGCCTCCCACGTCGACGACCACGGCCGTCCTCTCGGGTTCGTTTCCCTCATACGCCTCAACATATGGGAAACCTCAAAATGGTCTTCCCTCGAGTGGAAGGCCCAACTCAACCGACTGTCGGACCACCCCAACATATTGTCGATCCAACGGACCTTCTACGCCCCACCAATCCACCGCTGCGCGACCTTCCCGCTCATGGACTTGGGCTCCATCCGAGGTATCCTCTTGGCCCGTTTCCCAAACGGCCTACCCGAGCCCTGCATCCTCTTGGTCCTCCGGGAGACCCTCCTTGGGCTTGCCTCCGTACACGAGGTTGGCGGCGTACACAAGGAAGTCGACGCGGGCCACATTTTCCTCGACTCGAGAAACGGAATCAAGCTGGCCTATCAGGCCTCCTTGTTCGACCTCGACTTGGACAGGGAGATGCAACACCTGTCGTATCTGATTCCAAATTCCATCTCCCATTGGGCCGCGGCCCCCGAGGTGGTCCGTAGGCCCAAGGACTATTTGCACGAGGGGTACTCGGAGAAGAGCGACGTGTGGTCGGTCGGGATCACGGCTCTTGAGCTGGCGTACGGGGCCATTAAGGTGACAAGCAGGCGGGAGCTCGACAGGATGGTCCGGGAGATTAGCGCCAAGGGGAGGCTCCCGAGGAGGTCGGATGAGATGATTAACTTTTCCGGGAGGATCACGAGTGACGATTCTAAGCACAGCAAGGTGTACTCGAGATGGTTCGAGTGCATGGTGGCCGGCTGCCTGCATAGGAATCCGAGCAAGAGGCCCAGCGTAATTGAGCTTCTCCGGTGTGGGGTGTTTGATTTTTTAGACCAAAGCAGCGCGTATAGGCATCAAGCTTTCGACTTGTTGAGGAGTTAATAACTATTTAAAATTACTTGCGCGTGATTAATTTATTATTTTTGGCTGGTTGGGTGTAATAAAAATCCACTTTTTGGGATAATCTGTAGCTGTGTACAGCTACCATTTCTTATCCCGAGAGCCGTTGGGATAATTTGTATTCTTATCCCTTTCCTCGTTTTAGTTCATATCATTTCTGAAATCTTGAAAGCGTGATTTAATTTACCAACATGTCTTGTGCAGTAGTAATTACTGTGATTTGAAATATGAATGTATCTGTAAGGAGTGGTATGAGCGTTAATTAATTGCCTTGAATTTGTTCATTGCCTACACCATCCAACATTCTACCAAATTAGAATATCCTAATGAATTATATTCAATAATCTCTAAATCATTGATCTAACTTATCCAAATTAGAATATTCTGATGAATTATATTCAATAATCTCTAAATGATTAATCTAACTTATAAGTACGATTGAGCAACAAATATATGATTTTTTTTTTTCAACATAATTTAAAGGAATTATTCGTTAAACCTATCCTTTAGTCTTGTTTTACCACCAAAGGTATTAAATTAGCTTCTCTGAGCCAACACCTTTGCAATCTTTGGACTTGTGACTACAATACCAAGCGGTTTACACCATTCCCAATACCATGTAGATGAAGAATAACAGGATCCGTGTACAATTAAATGTTTTTATATAAAATCTCAAGGTCGCACCACATCCACATAGTATTTTGGAGAGAAGTTGAATAACCAGCATCTTGTGGTTAAAACAAGATTTCTAGGGTGTGCTCTGCACCTAGCCTAATAGATGTTATTCAATTAATAAAACTCAAGAAAGGGATAATTATATCTTACCATCAAAATTTAGCCTAATTAATTAAAATGGTAAACAGAAACAAAGAAAAAAAAAAAAACAGTTACCCTTAAAGAAAGTGAAAACAAAAAAAGTAGTACCTTGGCCATGGTAAAATGGACCGGTTAGACGAGAAAACCAACCTAAAACCGACTCCACTAAACATGTAAAACACATAAAAATAAATACAAAAACACAATAAACAATTGAATCAAGAAATTGATTGGAGAAACATGAAGTATGTTTATAAGGTCGGATGAAGTTTTTGGCAATATGGAATTTGTTTTAACAGTAAATTTTGGCATAAGTTTTCCCACTTTGGAATTTTATTACCATATCAAACACAAGTGTTCTATTTGAAAGATTAACACATCAACAAACCAAAATAGTGCCATGTATCAATAGAACAATGGCTCAACAAAAGAGTTGCACATTACTAGTTCTCAAACAACACTTGTGTTTTGGATATAACACTTGTTGTATGGTATTTTAACCAAACCCAATATCCTAACATTCAACCTTCAATACTTACCATCCTTAAAATACCATACAATAATTATGAAGGCCAAAAGGACAACGAAAACACGAGTGTTAATTTCCCGACTTCTTTTGCTATTTATTGTATCTAATAGCTGATGAAGCTCCACAATTTGAGCTTCTACATCCCTTAGGGTGTGATTGTTTATAAATTCAATTAGTTTTTATTTAGTTTGGTTTTAACTATAGTTAATTTTGAAAAAAAGTGGTATGGTTAGTTGTTAGTGGATATATTAAATTAATATTTAAATAAAATAATTAAAGTTGATTTGATGTAAAGCAGGAGAAAAATGATTGGAAGTGATGGTTTATTAAAATTATGTGAGTGAATGAATAGTGAATTAGAGTTGATGTAAGGTGTAAGAATGATTGGTTGTATTATTTAATTATATTGATAAAATTAGAGATAGTGGGTTGGGTTAAAGTTGAGTTAAATTTGAGTTTTGATTGATTTTTTTACTGTTGAAATAATATCCAATCGCCCCCTTACTTTTTGTTTTTGTTTTTTTTTCTTTTTATCCAACTTTTCAGTCAAAACTTCCAACAACGCATCCTTGGTCGGAAAACCAGAAAAGGCGTCAGGGACAATTTTCTCGACCTAAATACTCCGATGATCAATGTTTTGCATAGGGAGATAATGCGCACAATTGATAAAGTGAATTTGTTATGAAGATGGTAAAATTGATTCTACATGGTAAAAACCTTGCAATTTCATAGAGGATTTTTTACTGATCACCGATCCAACACTGACTTAGGTCGTTTGGGTGGGTATATATTTTAGGTCGTTTGGGTCGGTATTTATTTCAGGTCGATATACCACTATGTTGACGAAATGACTTCACGACAAATTTAACCAGCTCAACCTTCTGTCCTCCGTTCGGTCTAAGTCGACCTGAAAACCCTCTGAATTACAGTCGAGCTACTCATATTACTATATCACCGAGGATGAGATTTTTAGGGTCTGTTTGGCCTAATGGAAAATGAAAGATGCATGAATAGGACATATGAAATCATTTTGTGGAAATTTTGATGGCACACTGTTGGACCAAGTCATAGCTACTACAAATTCTCAAGTGTGAAATAAATTGTGGTGAAGGTAAGATTAGGATAACATCCACTACCTAGTTAATTAGGGATTGGATGGATAAATTTGAAACACTTGATTTTAAATTTCCAATTAAGATGGCCAACCAATCCATGCAGTATTTTTCCAGAAGTAATAGGAAGAAGATTGATTATTTTTTCTTTTTTACATTTAGCTTTAAATGCGACCATGAGTAAGCATAAAGCAAAATTGCATATTAATATACTACATTTCATGTTTTTGCAATTTAATCATCAACTTTGTGATTTAGGAAATTAATACACCACTTTGACTATTGTTTGAAATTCGAATCACAATGCCCAATTTCGGGTTTTTTTTTGCTGACATGGCGTTGACATGACATTTTTATGCTGACAACGTGTCAATGACATGGTGTTTTTTTTGGCATTCACGTATCAATTGGAAATTAAAAAATTTATGTTGGTCATGAGAATCGACTTGAGACATGAAGGTTGAGTTGTAGCTCTGCCACCACCATATCAATCCATGTTATTTTAAAAATTTAATAATGTCTATATAAATTATATAAAACAAAGAAAATCAAATTAAATTAAAATAACTTATTTTGTTTAACTTAAGACAATGAAATAAAATTAATACAAAATTCAGAACCTAAAATTATTTCTTTCTAATTAAAATCATTTTACTAAAAAATGAAAATTTAAACATAATTTTCTTAATTCATACTTTATGTTAGAGTAAATCATGTTAACAATATTTTTTTATTTTACTATATTTTATTTTACTTAACCTTTTTTATACTTTATTATTTTATATCATATTATTTTTATTATATTTAAATTGGTGGACTTTAATTTAGTTTATTTTTAATTTAATTTTATCATTATTATTTTTCATTTCCAAATTTATGTAATGAATTTAATTTTAACAAATCATAAATATATAAATTTATTTAAATTTAATTTAATTTAATTTAAATTCATTCTACTATAATATATTTTATCTTAATTTATTTTAATTATTCTATTTTCATTTAATTTTATATAGAGTAATTTATTATAATTTGATATTTTATTTTAATTTAACATAATTTACATTATCTTTCAATTTAATTTGATATATTCATAGGTAATGTCGATATATAAAACGAGATTAGATTTATCAAGTAACTTAAATTGGTGTGATGGTGGTAGAGCTACCTTGCAACCTTCATGTCCCAAGTTTGAATCTTATGACCAACAAAAATGTATTAAATGTAATTTTGCCTAAGCATAACATGCCGTGTAACATGAAAAAAATATATTGAACAAATTGTACACAATGTTAGTATGTTATATATAAATTGAAGTACTGATATCATTGACGAGCCCGTCTAGCTCAGTCAGGCTCTTAGACCTGCCCGTGGGTTCGATCCCCACGGTGGCCGATGTTTTTTCAATTTAAACTGTTTTTGGCTCAAAGCATTTTCATGTAGTTCAATGTGCAAAATAGTGAAAAAAATCATAAGGTGGATCGATTATTTTATTTTATTTTTATTTTTTAATTTCTCTTGTAGTTAAATTTCAGCAGCAAAATGTAGATCTAACACAGTAGTTAAATTTCAGAGAATAAACAAAAATNTTGGCCGATAGTCCTAGTCTTTAGGTACACAAGTTAAATGATGCACATCAATCGGTTTGAATTGTTCCAAATTTGGTTGAAGGTGTAGCCTATTAGTCCTTTTGTACATACCAATAACAACAATTAATTTTGTACAAGTTAAATCCTTAAAAAACACCACCATGATGGATGAAGAAGCTAACCATGTTCCATCACAAGAGGAGGAGGAAGACAAAGAAGAAGAAGAAGAAGAATATTACGACACGAAAGAACCGTTGGAAGACGACAAATACAAATACTACGATAAGATCGTCCACCCATTGTTAAACCACCCCAATATCATGCATGTCCCACAGAACTTCTACTCCTCACCGATCCCCTACTGTGTGACCTTCCCGTTCATGGACTTGGGCTCCATCCGGGCCGTCCTCTTTGCACGTTTCCCAAAAGGCCTGCCCGAGCCCTGCATTCTCTTGGTCCTCCGCGAGACCCTCCGTGCGCTTGCTGCCGTGCACTTGTCGGGCCTCGTCCACCAGGAAGTCGACGCGGGCCACATTTTCCTCGACTCGAGAAACGGAATCAAGCTCGCCCATCAGGCCTCCTTGTTCGACCTCGACTCGGTCAGGGGGATGATTCGCTTGTCTTATCTGAATCCATCTTCCATCTCCCATTGGGCCGCAGCCCCCGAGGTCCGTGGGCCCAAAAACTATTTGCACGACGGGTACTCGGAGAAGAGTGACGTGTGGTCGGTCGGGATCACGGCTCTTGAGCTGGCGTATGGGGCCGTTAAGGTGACGAGCAGGCGGGAGCTCGACAGGATGGCCCGGGAGATTAGCGCGAGGCGGAGGCTTCCGAGGAGGTCGGATGAGATGATTAACTTTATCGGGCACTCGAAGAGGATCATCAGGAGTGGCGATTATTCTAAGTACAGTAAGGCGTACTCGAGAGGGTTCGAGTGCATGGTAGCCGGCTGCCTGCAGAGGAATCCGAGCAAGAGGCCCAGCGTAGATGAGCTTCTCCGGTGTGGGGTGTTTGATTTTTTGGACAAGAGCAGTGCGTATAGGCATCGAGTTTTCGACTTGTTGAGGAGTTAATAACTACTTAAAATGTGTGATTGATTAATTTATTGTTTTCGATCGCCTGGTTGGTTGGGTGCAATAAAAACTCACTTTGCTGCTCTATCAGTACTCAGTGGTGAAACCTTTGAATTATGTCTTGTTGTGTAGTGGCTGTGATTTGAAATATGAATGCATCTGATTATAAATCAATGTCTTGTTTTATATCATTCAGGGGGTACATAGATGGGCATATACCTGTGAATCATCTAGCTCATCAGGTTCAAATTCTCAATGCAAAATGTATACTCAAAATGATTATAGCTTTTGAAATAGTTCAATGTTAGAGTCTTATCATGTATTGAAGGTGATTTTGTGAGTTCAGCTCAAAGATGTGATTTTGTGAGTTCAGCTATCAACTTATTAAATTGTCGACCTACATGACCCTAACGTAATGGGGAAGGTGATAGGGACAAAGTTCAAAATTAGCAAGATTAATACATGCATGCATTACATTGATCATAGACTAATCTATAAAGGTCACTACTCACTTGATAATTACACCTATATCATGTTCAGTTCCTTAGTATTAAATTGTTGATCTACATGTTTTTAGGGTTATCTCTTTGTCTCTCTCATTTTTAAAATACCAGAAAAATGCACATATTGTTGCTTTTTTTTTTTTACTTCGAATTATTTTTATTATTAAATTTATATTTAATAGTATAATATAGTTTTCTTTCCATTATTTAACAAAAAAATGGTATATTTATGATAAACTATAATAAATGTGTTGAATAATGAAATATGATATTTAGTACTAATAACCACCAAACTCTATAACATATAGAATTTTAGATATAGAAAACATTGGGTTGAACATCTGAAATAAAATTAATATTTTTTTTAAAAAAAATTCTAAATGCTAAAGTAATCTATGTTGTCTTTGATTTTTTTATTTAATGATATCCTCATTATGCTTAAAATAATGATCATTATTATCATTATAATCAGGGGCGAATAGATTTTTGCTGCTAAACATATGTAGTTATAATTTCCTAATAAATATTTAGGAAGAAAAGCCAAAGTTGGAGAACTTGCAAGACATAATAGAAACAATTTTAAGTTTTTTTTAATAGTCTATATAAAACGAAGTTGAATGATAGGTCGAAAAATGTGCGTATTTTATATATTTAATATATTATTTTTATACGCTTAATTTATACGCACATTTATATTTTTTGACCTATTTATTATTTTGATAGATTTATTTGCTTTGATTATTTTATATTTATTTGTCGGCGCATTAGAGTATTTTTTTTTTAATAAAGAAACTGTTGACGAGAGTCAAATAGTATTTATTGGAGTGCCTGAATACCGGATCGAATAAGACCCATTATGGCTGATTAGCACATTAAAGAAGAAATCGGGTCCAAAATATGTATGATACAAGCGTGAATTGGATGAAGAATGAATGTGGTTATTGGTTGAAAAGTCAATAGGACTTATTTAACAAACATTGATCCGTGCGGAGTTGATTTAATTGCTGGGAATTATAAGGCACGCATATCATATAAGAGAGGATTTTATTTGCGCAGAGTATAAAAAAGCCGCCAGACACACGTACGGGAGAAGAAACCCAGAGCCGCCACGCAAAGTCGAATAAAAAGAAAATCTTGAAAACGTGTTTAATTCATAAGAGGCTACCAGAAGACGGTAACTACTAGAGATAACACGACTTATTTAAGTGAACGAACGTGGTTGAGTTCACTAGTTAGTCTAGTCTATTTTTCTAATTCGTAAAGCATCTAATTGTATTAAATCTTGAAAACGTTTTTCTGGACTGTACAAGAAGTCAGGTTTAATCGTAGAGCGTCTCGCGGTTAAATTTAAAATAAGGAAAAATTCGTGTAATAGACCGTGTCGTTGCCTAGGGCTAGTAATTCCATAAGATAGCGAGGTTTGATATCAAAGTTGATTAGACGAGTCGGTCGAGGATGTAGACGGAACCGTAAACTAGATATTTCTCTTAATTTATTTTATTTTTATTTTTATTTTCATTGTTTAGATATTATCTGTTTTATTAGGATTTTAGTTAATTTAGTTATTAAATCCAATCCCCCCCTTTTATCGCTTTTATAATATCAATTAATACGAGAAATATCACAATTTGATTCACACTCCCCGTGGCATCGACCTTTACTTGCCGCTACTACAAGTTAGTAGAGGTTAGTCGAGGAAAAATATAAATTCTAATTTGTCGTGTTGCGACGCGAGGTCATTGAACATTATCTCGATGTTCTCTCCTATAATTAAAGTTATTGAAAGGATAATCGAGGATGAGGCTAGATCAAAGAGGACAATGTAATTTGTTGGTTGTACGCAATCTTTTGATTTCATATTTTTTCTTCTTCTAATGAGACAAAATTTAGATGTAACGAATTAGTATTTACTGAAATTATAAAGGGATGCTCAACATATTGTCAATGCTATGGATTTGTTAAGGGCAAGTAAGGGTGTGATTGGATATGGATTTGATTGGTTTTTGATGATTTTTTTGTTAATTATAGTTATTTAAAAGTGGTATAGTTAGTTGTTAGTGAGAATATAATTTTAAATTAAAATAATATTTAAAATAAAATAATTAAAGTTGATTTGATGTAAAAGTAAGAGAAAAATAATTGAAAGTGATGATTGTGTGAGTGGATGAATAATAAATTAAAGTTGATGTGATGTTTAAGAATGATTGGTTAATATTATTTAATTAAATTTATAATATTGAGGGTAGTGGGGTTGGGTTAAAATTGAGTTAAATTTAAATTTTGATTAGCTTTTTTATTGGTTAAGTTTATATCCACAATCTAAACAACTCCAAAAAATGAGATAAGACGAATGTGAATGGTAAAATTACTTGCAGAAGGTAAATTCGTATGTAATAAGCACGATATAAAAAATTTCGAGTACTTTTTTCATTTTATATTGCCCTAGCTGATAAAAAAAACTATGTATCCATAGCTGATTATAATATAGTTTGCTAATGTTTTCCTTTGCGCATACTATTTGAAAAATAACTTGATTTGCTCTAACTATCATTTGTAATGACTATTTTTTTATTGTTGATTGGAAGCTACCCAATTATGTTTGATATCTCTTATTTTGATTATATATATATAGTGGTTGCAAATTCAATTATATTTGCAAGTAAAATATTTTATAATACTTAGATATATATTTTCTCTCTGGATAAGAGATAAATAATATTTGAAAATAACTTTAAAGTCGTAATTATTTTCAAAAAAAATTACTTGGTTGATTGAAGGTACCCATCTATCTATATATATTGTCATAACATATGTTGATTGAAGGTACGTACTTATCTATAAATATTCTCCAATTCTAGCAATCAATTATCTCATCTCGGTCTCAAATCGATCACAAATATGCATTCATAGCTGTCGTCACCTCATATAATAAAAATAAGCACAAGAAACCCATAAACGAAAGATAAATTAAATTAATTCAATAAAAACTAGATCATAAATCAATCCGAGTACTAACAAATCCTAGAATGTGAGATAAAACTATCCTAGAAATACACTTTCAAAATCAAAAAAATAATATAAACATTGACTTCGGAAGTGAAAAGATTTTTCAGCTTCGTCGATCTCTTCTTCCCGGCTTTCTTGCTCGTCTTGAGCGTGTTCCTATTCTCCAAAGCTCTCTAAAACTCTTATAAACTATGGAAAGCTCTCCTAAAGATATGTCATAGTACTTTTTAAATAGTTCGGGGCGAGTGCTAGTCGAAATAAGTCAGAAAACCCGTCAAAAATAGAAAAAAGTACGTATTGTACGCGCCCAGACCCACACGATCGTGTGGTAATGTCAGATAAGCCACATGAATCGTGTGAAAAAGTCGAGAGCTTGTTTCGGGATCTTTGGATCGACACGAGTCGGATCGGAAATCACACGACTCATATTGTTGGTCCTGGAAGGCTGAAACTCCATTTTCAAGGAGGATTTCGGCTTCCGGTTGATTCTCAACTCATCATCCTGGGGCTGTTAAGACGGCGGTCAGTCGATTCTCGACTCATTGTGGGAACAAGGAATTCTTCTACACAATTTAGTTAAATACAAATTTGAATTTTTAGCCAAACAAAAAAAATGGCATTCTTCTATATAAACTAATTCAATCCAAATTAAATTTTAGAAAAAAAATAAATAAATAAAAGAAAAATCAGCCAAACCCATCATTAAAATACTTATTTTCTAACAAATGCCAAGTCAGAGAATAAACAAACAAAACAAAAAAACTAAAAGCAAATAAATTGGCCAAATAGTCCTAGTCTTTAGGTACACAAGTTAAATGATGCACATCAATCGGTTTGAATTGTTCCAATTTTGCTTGAATTAGTTGTTGTGCTTCAATAACAACAATTTGTACAAGTTAAATCCTTAAAAAATTCCACCATGATGGATGAAGAAGCTAACCATGTTCCATCACAAGAGGAGGAGGAAGACAAAGAAGAAGAAGAAGAAAAATATTACGACACGCAAGAATCGTTTGAAGATGACGATAATATCCTCCGCGACGGCAATCACACGTTTCGTACAATGCACGAGATTGGAACCACTCGTCTTTCACTGGGAACTACGCCCGTCTACAAAGCCTCCCACTTCGACGACCACGGCTGCCCTCTCGGCTTCGTTTCCC